ACACACATCAATAAAACACACACATACACAACATCCATTCATTCGGTGTCGTTGTTGTTATGTTTTTCTTCAACTTTCTATTTTCTTTACCAGACTTAATATAATTCGTAGGTAAGTTAGGGATTGAGATGAGTTGAACAATCGTAGGTAGGCTAGGGCTTAACATTAGTTAAAAAGTTTCAAGTAAAATAAAAACGCTGAAATATGTAAAATAAAATACCTAAAACATGTAAAATTCCAAAAACATAGAAAAACATATTTGTAGGTAGGTGAGTTGAGTTAATGATTATAAGTAAGCTAGGGCCCTGAGAGTAATTTAATTGTAGGTAGGTGACTACTATTCTTGCGACTTTTTACTAGTTTTTTGTGATGTGTTTGTTTTCGCTTCACAGCCCCACACCAACAAAACAAACTACATTTTATTCTCGTCGTCGCCTTAAATTTTACCTTTTTGAACAATCTTTTTAATAATGTCTATATTTATTTAATTATTTATTAAATGTTGACTGGTTTCTAGTTTTTTTAATTTGATTATATCATTTTTGGATATTTCTTGATTTAATAAAAGCAACTATTGTGTTTTTCTTTCTTTACTAAAATCTCGAAATTGTTTGTAGATCTGTACAGTTAAGTGTTTGTTCGAGTTTGAACAAGCCTTGCAAATAGTTTTCAAATATGGTTCATTGATTGGGTGGTTGATTAGTTGATTGAATGAATGGTTGGTTGGTTGATTGATTGGTTGATTGATTGATTGATCTCATAGTATTTTATATATGAAAAAAAAAATCCGATTAAGCCGACATACGGCTTTACTTGGCCACTGTATTTTACCAGACAAAAGCAATTTTTTTATTTATATTGACAAAAATAATTGTGAAATGAATATATTGACTTATTTAAAGCATTATATGTAAAGAAAACCTCCATGACACTGTTGTATGAGACCCAGTAAGTCACTGCAGTAAGCCAACGTATGATTTCAGCGACCATAATTTCTATGAGCACCAGCAGAATGTAAAATATTCATTGAAGATAGTTGTTCAAATAACAATTTTGATCTATTTAAGTCGTTTATTTCATGAGAAAACAAATTTTTAACATGATCGAATAGTGTAAAAAAGGGTGACTTTAGTTCAATCCTACTAAGCCAACCTTCGACTTCAGTAAAAAACCACCCGGATTTCACAGGACCAAAAGTATAATTTTTATATTCAAATTAACAACAATAATTTAATAATACATAATTTTATTTAGTAAAACCATAATTTTATTTAATAAAATTAAAGAGAATTACTACAATGTTTTAAGCATATTAAGTCAAGTAAATATTTCATATAGCTTGCTCGTTAAAATCCATGCAATTTCGTAAGCCAATAATCCAAGCACGACAAATTATTCTAATTATATGAAATTATCCACATAATTGAATAACTAGCAAAAATCATTGAATATTAGTTATTTTAAAAAATATATTCATTATTCCCAGGCCTAAGCATTGTAAATTTTACAACCAATCAAGCAATGGGATTTAGGATTTTAAGTGCTGTTAGTGTAGTAGTTGTAGTATGTAGTAGTGTAGTGGTTGGTAGTCTCTAGTAGTCTATTCTGTTAATGTTCGTTAGTGTTAACTGTTATTTATATTAATTAGTAATTAGAATTAGTAGTTTAATTTTAGCTTAATTATTAGAGTTTAGTAATTTAATTACTTATTAGTCGTCGTTAATGTTGTTACGTTACCCTTACCGGTTACAGTTAATCGTTAACGAGTCAAGTGTTAGAAGAGTGGTTCACAAAAAATTTTTTAATTTAAAATGCAAAAACCGTCATACAGCAATATCTATCCTAAAACAGCATCTAGTATATCACCTTTCAAAACATTTTAAATAAAAGCAATATTCCGAAATTAGTAAATAAACGATCGTGTATGATATTTTGTCAAATTTATTTGATAGGAATTGAATAAAACCTTTATACCGGCTGATTAACTACCATGCAGTAAAATAACTACTGTTGACACCATTTCCTCCAACGATTTCGCAACAAATTGCCCATACCATATAATTAGAATAAACTCTTTCGATCAATGTTTAAATTTTTATATTGTCATTTATTCTTTCGTTTTTGTTTCTGTACTAATTTTCGTGTCAGATACAATAATTTAGTTTTTAAGTAAATTTTCATTTTCGTAGCTATACACAAACCTGCCTACCTGTTGCATTAAAAATTTGCATTAATAATAAATAGAAATGAGAAAATTTCTGATGCATCTTTTCACAGGTTTATTTTCAAATTAACTTCACACTAAAATAAATGTAACAATATCCCTATACTCATTGAATAGAACTATTTTGTTTTACAATTACATATATTTTATTTTATAGACTATTATAATTTATAATGCTATCATGGATTATCATTTTATTATCAATAAAAGCAATACTTAAGAAATGCACAAGTTTCTGTAACAGTTTATAAAATTTCAGATTTCCTCAAAATGTAAAAATGCAAAACGATTGGATTAAGAGCATCAGACAGGAAATAAATGATTTCAAATGGCTTCCATCAAAAAATGCAAGAATATGCAGTGACCATTTCTGTAATAAAGATTATAAGGGTTATGATGGAGTAAGGAAGGTAATGCTGAAGAAAGCATTCCCATGTTTTCAAGTTAGTTATATTTATATGTCATCAGTTACACAAGGAAGCAATTCACATCTTTATTGTACATTGCAACATTCTTATCTATACAAAAAAAATAAAATGCATTCAACAATATTATCCATGTATTTTATTAAAACTTAGAAAGGGCATAATGACATTGTGAATAATAAACCCTGCTTAGGACTGGGATCATCATCATCATACCAATCACCATTACAAGTAGAGTCAATTTTATATTAATGCTTAACAAGTTAACTAAATTGGCATAATCAAGTTTTTATATGAAATACACATCAAGTATTTAATGTAACAAATAAATTAACAGAAAAATTTCTGGAAAAGTTTAAAAAAATTAGAACATACGACTCTGATCAAAACTCATTCGCATTGACACTGCATTTGTATGGGCATAAGGCATATGATTATCTTTGGACAAATGGCTTACATCTTCCTCACACTAGGACATTAAGAAAGTAATCTTGTCATACCTGTTCAATAATTTTAATAAGATTGTTTTAAATAACTATTCTCAATGTCATTTTATTAACACTACATTAAAAGGTGGCTAAAAAACATTGATGGTATGCCTGGGGTGATTTCTACAAACCTTATTGACTAATGGTGATGGGGATCCTCTGGAACTGCAGGATCATGACATTCAATCTAGTCATGGATTGAGAAATCAATCCTTGATATATTTGATAACAAACATTTATTATAATATAAGAATGAAAAAAAGATGTAGGTGTAAGGCAAAATCTTACTGGAACTATTATTTTTAGCAATTTATGATTTATTTTTTTATTTTTGACTTTATCCATTTTCAATGATGCCGATATTTTTAATTATTATTATCCAAATTATACTCGTGCCTATATAAATTAATTTGATTGTGGCTATTTCTATGCTTAATTATTTTATTTACTTGCCATAGGTATGCACAGCATTTAATAAATTAATGATAATAATTAATACCACAACATTCTAAGTGCATAAAATATAATAAATTTTAATTATTAAAAGTACAATTTTTACAAACCTCATTGGTTATGGTGACAAGGATTCTTTAAAACTGAATGATCATGATCTAACAAGTCATGGATTGATGAATCACTGGAATCACACATTATCTTTAATAAATTTAATAACAACATGTACTACAATTTAAGAATGAGGAATATTTTGTAAAACATTAAATGAAAAAAAATTTAGTTTGAATCACTCATAATTAATAAATTTTAATTAAATTGCAAGTTAGCTTGGGAAGTTTGAAGCTTGAATTGAACAAATTACAAAATTGTTTATTTTATAAAATTGATTGATAAGTTGTTTAATATATTTATTTAATTTAGTATATTTTTTATTCCCAGACCTAAGCATTGTAAATAAAAATTTTAAAACCAATCAAGCAATAGAATTTAGGATCTTAGGAACAAGTGCTGTTACTCGTTAGTGTAGTAGTAATATGTAGTAGTGTAGTGGTTGGTAGTTTCTAGTAGTCTAATCTGTTAATGTTCGTTAGTGTTATCTGTTATTTATTTCAATTAGTAATTAGAATCAGTAGAGATTAGTTTTAGTTTAATTATTAGAATTTAGTAATTTAATTACTAATTAGTCGTCGTTCAGTGTTGTTACAGTTAATGAGTTAATTAAGTGTTGTTGGTGGTTCACAAAAAATTTTTTTTATTTAAAATGCAAAAAGATACTTAACCGTCATACAGCAATATCTATCCTAAAACAGCATCTAGTATCACCTTTTAAAACATTTTGAAATTTTAAATAAAAGCAATATTCCGAAATTAGTAAATATACGATCGTAACTTTGGACTTGGGCGATAAAAAATCAGCCTCCAATTTTCCTCCGGTTGTAAGCTCCTTGTTCGACCGTCAAAAATGAGCGAAGGCCGTTATATTTATTCTAATTATATGGTTAAAACCACATAACTAGAATAAAACCCAAGCAATTTCATTATTAAGCCCGCACCAACATCGTGCTAAATTCGTCGCTCGTTTTTATTTTATAAACAGTTGTTTCGGATGCATTTCTTGGTCTTCATTAAATTTATTAAAATATAATTTTTTATCTTTTTTTAAACTTTCAAATTAAAGATTTTAATTTTTTTTCATGAAAAGAATGTTTTGAAAGGACCGGCAATGTTTGTTTATTAATTTTACTATTTTATTTTAATTATATGTTCATTTTTTAATTTCTTAAAAAAATTTCTTTCTTCAAACAAAATTATGATCAAATGAGTTTTGCTTTCAATTTTTAAATTTTAAAGAGGAAAACGACAACGAACCACCCCAATTTTTCCGCTTTTCACTAATTTCCAAAGAAGATGGAATTATCTGTGTCAGGTTTGCTATGCGAACCAGTTTCTCCTCCAACTAATGACCAATGCAACGAAGAAAGTGATGGGAAAATTTTAAATGAAAATTTAATGTCAGACGACATCTATAATAATAATAATCATAATAACAATCATAATCATAATTTTGATAATAATTATAATTTAGAAAAATCAGAAACATGTCAAAGGCAATTCAAGCCTAGCCCACCTCATTCAAACTCAACTGGTGAACCACATAGTAGCAATATTTTTGATAAAAAATACTATAGTAATATCATCAATGAAGACAGTATTAATACTACTACTACTACTACAAATGTTATTTTTAATGATGAAAAGTTTAATTCAGAATCTAGTAAAAATCTCTCTCTAGAAAATCTCAACAAATATTTTTGTGCTAGTAGATCTGCCACTAATAAAAGGAAGTTTGATGATGAAAGTTGTAACTTTGATAGCAATCAGAAACTCTGCAATAATAATAATAATAATAATAATAATAATAATAATAATAGTTTAAATGAAAATAGTAATAATAACTTAAATAATAATGATGATCAAAGAAACATCTCAAACAGAAATAAATATTATGAAGATTTAAAAGGTCTTTTCAATAAATTTAAAGAGCATGTAAAAAAGTATGATGTTAAAAAAAAAGATTTGTTATCTAATTCTATTTTTGAAAAAAGCAAATCCCTAAGTCCCGAGGACCTTCTAAACGGTGGCAGTAGAAACAACGAAATGCAGTCAGATTTGAACGATGTTCTTCATTCACCCACTGATTATGAAAGGTCTAAATATAAAATTGTTTGCAAAAAAAGAAAATTAAACGAGGATGATGGTATTAATAATCGGCCGAAGAACCCAGCAAGTTATTTTAGCCAGAGTGTTAGCTGTAATGATGTTCATCATAGATCTCAGTCATTCAACGAATGCATAGAATCGATAATTATGGAACACCAAAATAAAAAATTAAAAAGAGCTAACGTACATGATGATGCGACAATTGATTTAGACCATATACCATTCATTGATAGTCCTTTCAATGCTACTACTAACACAAACAACTCCGTTAATGATAATGATAATAATGATAATAATGATGATAATAATGATTATGATCCTTTCAGCTGTGAAAATATTGAAGATGATAATTGTTTGAGTGATGTTAAACTCTGCAGTGACCATGATGGAGATAATAACAATAATAACGTGATTGATGATAATGATTATGGTGGTGATGATAAGAATGATGACGATGATAAGAATGATGATGACGATGATAAGAATGATGATGATGATAAGAATGATGATGATGATAAGAATGATGATGTGATTAACTACGCATATGTTAATGTCACCGCTAATGACAATGATGATAACGATGAGGATGGTGTTGGAGATAATGATGATGATGGTGGTGGTGGTGATGATGATGGTGTTGGTGATGGCGATAATGATAATGATGACTCTGAGGTGTACGATCCCGAGAGGTGTGATTACTACGATAGAGATGCTGATGATGAAAATGCCGACAACAACAATAATAATAATAGCAAGGGAGAACAGGAAGATGAGGAAGAGGAAGTGTATTCGCCATCATCTCAACCACCCTCGCCCCTGGGTTCGCCAATTTTTACCCCCAAATCACCACTTCCCAATCCAAATATTGATGATGATATCGTTGATGATGATGGTGGTGGCGGGGGTAGGGGTGCTAATAATGCAGTTAACGGTAATAATAACAATAATCTGTCGTCAAATACATCTAGCATGAATGACATAACAAAACTACTGCTACAAAACCTCTCAACCAATCAGGGCGTGGATATTTTTAGACAGCTGATTGACAAGAACCAATCACTGCAGCTTCCTTCTCCATCTCTTAACATTCTCAACCAGCCAATCAGCTTGCTCTCATCGTTGACGAGTTTAACTTGCCCCGCCAATCCAATTCTTCAGCCATTGAATCTTTTCAATCTGACCTCATTAATGAACCAATCACATTCCTTGTTAAATGTGTCAGCCAGTGGAGATGGGTGTAGATCGCGTCTGGAAATTCCAAAAGTTATAAATAAAAAATTGTCTTCGTCGTCGCCATTTGACGTGAATGCGATGTCACCAACGAGCAATGACTCTCTCTCATTTTCACCACCATCTTTCAATCATCATGGCAACAACTCAGCTTCTTGTAAGATTTCATTTCCGCCGAAGATCATAGACAACCTGCATGCTGACAAAGATAGTGGTAAGAGCAAACCCGATGAAAGAATAAACGTAAATTATTTCGATTTTTCTATTTCATTAACTGATTTTTCATGAATTTCGTCATCTCCTGTTTTGAATTTTTGAACACATACTATTGAAAGCTTGGTAAACAAATTCTGATACTTATATCTCTGAATAAATTATGTTAATTTTAATTTCAGGCCTCCAATAGAAAAGAGTTACAGGCTGAGATAGTTTCCTACATAAAAAATCTCTTGAGACCAGCCTACATGAAGGGTAAAATAAGCAAGAGTGAATACAAAGACATATTGAGGAAGGCTGTCCCAAAGGTCATTTTTAATGAATTGTGCTTTAGTATGAGTGGTTCAGACGGTAGAACTGCCGTGTTTCTCGCTTTGACGTTTTGCATCGACTTTTTTCAAATGCTGCCTGCTTCAAATTAGAAGATTATCTTACGCCCAGTGCATGTATTGTGATGCATGATGCAGACTCGTATGCATGTCGTGTGCTTTGAGTGTCCTTGTGCTTAACCTTAAAACATTGAAACGACGCAGATATGCCACACAAACAAGCTGAGCTACAACAAGAACAAGATTGAGACATACATCGAGGCATACATCAAGAAGGTCATCGCCACTAAAAAATATTTCCACAGAAAATCATCGTCCAATTCAAAAGTTTAGGTCATTCATTTTCTCTACAGATATTTCTAATTTTAGTCAAGGTTGTAGGAGACGTTATTTGCATGGTTTACCCGAGAAGATAGGTACACATACTTGCGGACTACTTGCGTCTCAGTGCAGTCTAATTTTTTCACATTTATTTTCTCGTTCATTTATTTGTAATATTTATGTTTTCTACGACGAACCTGAATTTGTTTTGTAACTTAAACTTTGTAGAATGAATGTTAAACTCTCTTTATTTTTTTTTAAATTGATTTTTTTACAGTTTTATTTTTTAATTTGGAATATAAAATTCTGACAGAGAAATCCTAATTCATTCCGAACGTTGGTCGGTTCGGAGAGAGAAAAAGTTTATTTAATCGTCGAAAGAGTTGAAAATGAAACGATTTGGTAGATTTTTGTGTAGAACAAGAATTTCTCGAGGTTTTCACGACGCGGGTTCAACTCGTGTTCAAATTTTTGATGAAGCTAATGCAGCGTGCGAGGTACACAACTTAGCTACCAAACACTTAGACCGAAGGAAATTGCTCTGGGTTTGTTGTAATTAAACACGCTAATTATTTATGTACCTTTTTAGTCTGGGAAAACAACTTTTATTAGAAGAAAATGTCACAAAATAAGTTGAACGAAACTTTAGGATTTGTTATCAGAATATGATAGCGTGTTTAATTGTCGTACGAAGTTATGATCGTAAATTTTTAATCGATTTTTAAACTATTTCGATATTTTGTTGAAAATACATTTTTAATAGAAAAAAGTCGCCGAATAAAGTTTAACTATTGTTTAAATTTTGTTAACAGAATATGATAACGGGTTGAACCTATCTTTATATGACTCATTTATTGAAGTTATAAATTTTTAATAATACAAATTATTTAAATTTGGCTTTTTGTAAAAATAAACACAATTCTGGCCTTAGCGTAGAATTGCTAAATATCAGCACTCTGGGAAATTCTATTCTATTTCATTCTTAAGTTCAAAAATTTGGATTTTGAGTTAAAATGGAGAGGCGAAAATCGTCGAAGCGGATTGATGGTGAAAATTTAAATTTTGTCACGAAAACTTTCTCAAATGTTCGCTCGATCGAAAAAAACGGCAAAACATCGTCCGGGGAGTTAGTAAATTTTTTTCCGTCAATTGTGAAACTTTGTATTTGTATTATCGCTCGTTTGATCGATTTTATAGTTATTGAAATTGATTGAAATTAGCGACTTGTCTAATATTGACTGCTGTCCAATTAGGGCTCAGATAAAAATCTTAGTGATTTTTTGTTAGTTGGGGGCTTGAGGCTTTGTTTGGATTGGTTCTGATGACTTGAAAATTAAATTAAAAAATAAATTTGTAGTAAAAAAAATTTAAATTAATTTGTAATGTAAAGACATGTGACAACTCGAGGCAGCAGCACGTCCCTGGCACCTAACAACAATCTGACTTCAAATTATGAGTACGTTGAAGATGAGTGGGAAAGGTGTTTTAGTTAAAATTACACTTTCATAATTAATTAACTCACTGGCTTTTTCATTTATTTGAGTGTAATTTCATGGTTTCATGTGTGTGTGTGTGTGTGTGTGTGCATGTGTGTGTGTATGGAGAGAGATTTTTTAAAATGTGTTTTTAGTTATGTAAGCTAACTGCCTTTAATGATGTAATTTTTAATGGTTTTATAAATAAAATTTTAAAAATGTTTTAATATTATTTTGAAAATTTCAAAAATCCAAATTAGGTACCATGTTTTTCATGCTTTGCTTTTTTGCAATTTCTTTGTTAATGTATTTCTGGTATGTTCTAAAATTTTTCTTAACATATATTATCTTTAGTAATTTAATGCTAATATTTTCAATCTCTTTTTTCAAAAATTTCATAATCTTTGGCTAGCAGTAGATGCTGTTTTATGATCTTTTGTACTATAACATCAACAACGGTTCACAATCTACTTCACTAACTATTTATGATCTTTTACATCACTAACTATTCATAATCTTTGATCAGGTCCCCAAAAACAGACTACACATATGCAAACAGGTACATGAAAATTTAGTTGAAATTGAATCTATATTGTTTTTCAATTCTAATTAAACATTCCACTAATTTTAGTGCCAGTTATAACAGTCGATATGACGAGTCCTACATCATACCTAATATGAGTCGGCCATCCCTCAGGACCAGGGATGTGCATGCTATGTCGACTCCGTCTAAATTTTCCACTGTTTCAACTGACAGTGCTGGATCAAGTTGGTGATGATGATGAAATTGTAGGTGGTGGTAATGATGATGTAGATGGTGGTGAAAGAGAATGATGATGACGACGACGACAATGGCAGAAGGAGGATTTGATGCAATACACTAATCCAAGTCACTCACCCACTAACACAGCTATATCAGGATACTATCTTAGGAGCAGCACATTTAGTACAACGTACTCGCAAGAGTCATCACCATCATCATCATCACTCCAGTCCCACAACGTCAACAACAACAAAGCAGATGTTCTCGACAAGCTCGTTCCCATGGAAACCACCTTGCAACAACAGCAGCACTTTAATCAGCCAATCAGAGAAGATTATGTTGGTCAAGGTTATTTAGGTCAGTCTAAGGTCAAGGTTACAAAATCTAGACAATCAGGGCTGGTGGGTTCAGAGACAATGGTCAGTAAGAGTTGCTCACCGATGGTGCCTACTACCATGCTGATGAGGAAGACTTTGATGCAAGGTCTGCTCTTTTGCTGTGTGTGTGAGAGAGTGGACAAATTAAACAAATAACCAAATGGGGGAGTTGCTAGAGGAGTTATTAATGGATGAATGAATAGATGGATTGATTGATTAATTGATGATAGATGAATGAATGAACGAATAAATAAACGAATGAATGAAGGAACGAACGAATGTGTATTCGTCCATTCTTTTATTCACCCACAAATTCAGAAAACTATAGAGATAATGATAAGAGGAAGAAGAGAAATGTGATAGTGAGAATTATAAGTGAGTGCTATTCTTATATCTAATTCGTTACATTAACATTAATACTATTGATAAAAATAATTATAATTATATTTATTTTGCATTGATATCTTGATGGCATTATGGTGAATGAATAAATGAGTGAATAAATGAATGAATGTGTGAATGAATGAGTGAATGATATAATGTGAAAGAATTTTAATGTCCCGGTAAATTACAACTAAATATTATTAATTTAATTTTTCATTTGTATACCTATATAGCTTTTAATACTAATTAACCTTTTAAAATTGTGAAAATTTAATTTAACTTTTAAAATTCAATCATCATCAGCCGCAGTGTGTACTCTCTTGTGGTCCATCCTCACTTACCCTTCCACCCACCTACTCCCCAGACTATCATCATCATCATCATCGAATAGTAATAATAATGACAACCAAAGAACTCCAAAACGACACCAACCATACATTGAAAACCCCATGAGGGATGATGCGATGAGAGTCGCTGATGATGGTGATGATAATAGTAACGTTATCGGTGGTTATGGTAATGATGGTGGTGGTAGTTGTAGGATGAGGAGGAATGTATTATTTCCTGATGGCGGAAGTGGAAGAGTGACGAGAAAAAGAGAGGATGGTGACGTCAAAAGTGGCCTGAAATGTTTCTTGTACTCTCTTGCTGGTACCATCGGTCGGTTGTCTGTCTGTCTGTCTGTGTGTGAGTGTGTGAATTTGTTTGTGTGTGTGTTTGTGTCTTCATTTACGCATTTCTTTCATTCAATTCGTTCATTCATTCATTCTTTCATTCATTCATTCATTTAGCTGTTTCCCATACACTATACATGTATTTATGCACCAACAATAATGTGACCATCCGTCAACTCGTTCTAACATTAGTGTCACACGTTCACACGCGCGCACGCACACACACTCACAGGCACACACACACAAACAGACGCATACACAATAATATAGGTGGAGTAATTTACGTGTTGAAGAATGCACTGCTTCATATCTGTGGTCTGGCCGGGAGGACAACTACTTCTATGGATGACGCTGTCTTGTCTCGGTCTGTAACCATGATGATGGTGATGATGATGACGATGGTGATGAGGATAGTAATGATGATGATGGTGGTGGTGATGATGATTGTAACTCTTGCGTCATTATCATCATCGTCTGGCTTATCATCATTATCGTTATCCATATCATTTATATTATTATTATATTATTATTTATCATCATCTTTACAGATCCTATAGAATAATTAGACCGACAGGATCATCAGCTCAGAAGCAGCAGCATTCGTGTCAGTATTGTACTCTCTCTCTTTTCATCATCATCTCTCTACTTCTTATTGGTTAGTAGCTTGGGGTGACATTACTAATACACTGCTGCTGTCACTTACTGCTGCTGCTACTACTACTACTACTATCATTGCAGCTGCTGCCATTGTGGTACTACAGCTGCTTCTACTAAACATTACCGTATCATTCTAACTCATCAATATTCATGCCACGACTCACTTAATTTTGATAGGTGGGATGTATTTCTACTTGTGTGGACCGCCCAATCACGAGAGGGCTTATGATTTGATTGACAGTTATTATATTCAGTTGAAAGATTACGCCAAGGTATGGTTAAGGTTATACATCTTTGTAATATGCATGAGTAATAATTTGAGACTAAATTTAAATAATTATTGCCGGCATGTCAATCAAATTAATTTAACTCCGCCCACTATTTCAAACGACAGCCAGTCGCAGGCTACCCGAATTTGCTCCTGCTATATGCGTGTGAGAAGTTTGATGAAATGAAATCTTCACTGCTATCTTTGCTTTCATCGTCTTCTTCTTCTTCATCACCACCACCACCGTCTCAACCATTACCCCCGCCGCAATCATCATCAACACCATCTCCACAATCATCATCATCATCGCCCGACTTGACTTTGCTGGCCAGCAAGAGGGATCTCACCGAGTTGAGGTCTTACGTTGATGCCTTCATTAATAAAAACTGGAAGATACTAGTCGATAATGTTAGTGGATTGATTGACTGATGGATAAATGAATGGATGAATGAATGAACGATTTATTTGTTTATTAGATGGATGGCTCGATGGATTGATGAATGAATATGGAGGTGAATGAATGAATAACTTACTTTATCAATTCGCTTCAGAGTTACTCTTTCTGTCTGTAAGGTTTCATCTTGTTGAAATATTCACATTCATCCACCTACCACTGATTCATTCTTTCACGTACACACGTAGAAACACACCACACACACACACACACACACACGTACGCATACACGCACACACGTACGCATACACGCACACAGCAATGCAAAGGCCTGTCGGATAGTTTGAACGTAAAGTTTGAAAGTTCTTCAAAGAGAGTTGAGGAACAATTTACTAAATTGTTGAAAGAGAGATTGAAACAATTAAACGACAACGTTGATAAAAGAATCAATCAGGTTATGATTATGGTGGTGGCGATCTTGATAATGATTTCTGTTATAGTAATAATTATTGTTATTTTTGTTACTTTTTAGCTAATCATGGAAGATGATGAGCATGACAGTTTGATCCTGGTATGTTGTTAATTTTTGTTTCTTTCAAAGATTTGTTCACTCATTTGCTCATTCATTTGTTCATCCATTTGTTCATTTATTTTATCAATTGTTTGTTTTCATATTCCCTCTCTCTTTTCAGTGATTTGTTTTTTGGGTCTGTATGTGATCCAGTGTTTAGTTCATTCGTTGGTTGTTCGTTCGTTTGTTCGTCCATTCATGCATTCGTTCATTCATTCAATAAATTTTAGAAATAAAATAATATTTTCTCTGAATGGTTTGCAGAGCTTGAAGGATGATGTTAATTTCTGGAAGGAACAATACACGGCGTACGTATGTTTTTCATGTTTAGTTTCATCTTAAACTTGCGACATCATCTTTCACATCGTCATCATCTTCATCGTCGTCATCTTCATCATCGTCGTCATCTTCATCATCATCGTCATATTCATCATCGTCATCTTCATCGTCGTCGTCATATTCATCATCGTCATCATATTCATCATCGTCATCATCTTCATCATCATCGTCATCTTCATCATCATCATCATCTTCATCATCGTCGTCGTCATCACCACGCACAGCAAACTAAGTGATCTAGTGGCCTTAGTCAGCACGAAAAAATCCAAAGACGATCAATCAGATCGGGATAGCATAGAAAAGTTGCACAAAGAAAACTTGAAACAAATCGATGCAAAATTACAAGATTCCCTAACATCACTCAAAGTTTCACTAATCATGGAGCTACAGAAGCACATCGTTGATCAGGTGTCACAATCGGTGTCAGCCATTGAGAGGGGGTCCAACGAAATTAGTGATAGTGAAGTTGGTGAGAAATTGAGCAGGGGAGAGATTGAGGACATTGTGAGAGTTAAGTTGGATGCATATTTTAATGAGGTTTGTGTGTGTATGTGTTTTTTTTTGCTTTTATCTTTTATTTGTGTGTCATTATATATACTGCTACTGTTACTACTGCTATTGATATTTTTTATTCATTCATTCACATTCATTCATTCACATTCATTCATTCACATTCATTCATTCATTCGTTCATTCATTCATTCATTCAAACATTCACTCTCCTCCATTCATTCCTTTACATTTGCTCAATCATTCTAGTTATTCAGCGTTGACAAAGACAAGAGCGGGAAACTGCGGCATGAAAAAATGACGTCATCAACATTCAACAACGCCCTGATGACGTGGCTGTCCAGTAACAATTACGTCAGCAAGAATGACGTTGATGAAAAGTTAATTCTGATCTCAAACGAGATGTCCACAAAGTTTCAATACTTGATCGAAGAGAAGATAAAAATGATCTTTAATGGTTGGTGCTGCTCCAGTCCATTGCTGACTTTGCTGCGTCATCGTGCTATTATTATTATTATTATTATAAATTTTATTATGATCCATTGTTATAACGATAATTTCTTATCATAATTTTTATATAAATTTCATAATAAATTCAGATAAGTTATCGTCCGTCAGTCAAGAACATACTGTCGCATCAGATGCGTTCGTCACGAAAGATGTTAGTGGGGAACTATGATAAATTTTTTATTCAATGATAATTATTATTATATATATGGATAATTACGGTAATTATTATGATTGTTGCTCTTATTATACCAGGAAGTGCTGAAAATTATGAATGAGTCCATCTCACGATATGACGCTGACAAGACGGGGATGGCTGATTATGCTCTGGAATCAGCTGGTTGGTTTGGTTGATTGACTGATTGGTTGGTTGGCTGGCTGGTTGATTGGTTAATTAAAACGTTGATGTCTTAATAACCGACCAATCAGGTGGCAGCATAATAGGCACACGTTGTTCTAAGACCTATAAAAAGGGCATGTCTCAGGTTAGCGTCTTCGGAATTCCCCTATGGTACGCCACGAATTCCCCAAGAACTGTCATTCAAGTAAACTTATAATACTTTCTTGAATATTAATTGACTGATCATGAATATTTATTAGGCGTGTAACTGTTTATGTGATCTTTTAAGAAATTTTACCAATGTTTTTATGTTTATTTTAATTGTGTTTTAATGAAATAAAATATTAAAGTTACTTAATTAGCATATTATAATTAGTACCTAGTTAACTAAAGTTACTTAATTAGGATATTATAATTAATACCTAATAAACTGATATAAATTATTACACACGCAGCCTGGCAACTTACCAGGCCAGTGTTGGCCTTTCTCGGGTTCAGTTGGCTACCTGGTCGTCCAGCTAGCAACGAGGATCCACGTAACCACGGTCTCCATCGAGCACGTCAGCAAGATCATCACCACGTTCGGTGGCATTGAAAGTGCTCCCAAGGAATTTGCTGTTGTGGTTAGAAGCTGTGTGTGTTTGTTTGTGTGTTTGTTTGTGTGTGCGTGTGTGTGTGTGTGTAATTTGCGTGAAGAATGATGATGAAATGAAATGAAACTTTTGATGATGGCGTCAAGAATGATGATGCTCAATTAAGTTCTTTGAATGTAATGAGAGAAGGGTGATGGTGATGAATGTGATTTTGTGTTGCTAGCTTCTCGCTAATGCTAACTCGCTAATTACCGCACAGGGCCTGTCGGACTCTCAGGATGTTGAGGGGACAATTCTTGGTAACTTTACCTACAATAAAGATGGCCTTCCATTGCAATACTTCGACATACCTGTGCGCATTCTTATCGTGTTTCTACAAAATAATTATAAAACATTCACCACCTATTAAATATTCACAACTTATTAAATATTCACGATTTACTAAATATTCATGATCTTGACCCGATTAATCTTTCCCATTCTGTGATAGGTTGAACATCACAGCTCCTCCTACCTATTTGTGGAGTTGAGAGTGTATAGTAATCATGGCAACGACAACTACACTTGCCTCTATAGATTCAGGGTTCACGGAAAACCGGATTTGAAGTCTTGATTGGGATGGGGTTGGGGTTGATGATGATGATGACGATGAGGATGGCTGTGACGATGATGATGATGAAGATGGTGTCGATAAAGACGCGCGTGGTAATAATTTTGTCGTTGATGTCGCTGGTTACGATCGTGCTATAATGGCGTGAAGGTGATCACTGTGAATAATAACAGTAAGTGTGTCCTTATCGCTTCAGATTTGCATTTTATACGCTTCTCCTAATTCTCATTTGCCCTTTTTTTCATTATTTATTATTGCCGATTTATTGTTTAACGTCAAAATATGTGTGTGTGTGTGTGTGTCTGTCTGTATGTCTGTCTGTCTGTCTGCCTGTCTGTACGCTCGTGTAACAAATTAGCCAAAAAATTGAGGAAATATTAATAAATTATTTATAAAGTGTTCGAATATTAGAAGGATATGTCTGTAGTTTTGTAGTTTATCTTTTGATTTAAATGATGCTTCTCAGGACCAAAAATTGTTGGTGATGATAATGATGTTGTTGGTAATGGTGATAATAATGGTGATGATGAAAGTTGTGATGAAATCGCCAAACTAATTTTAATCGCTTAGACTGTTTTTTAAACTTTCTATTTGACATTACGAACTTAACCAATGCTAATCATAATAATAATTATTATTATATATAATTATAATTATTAGCAATGATGATGATAATAATGATAATTTTATTAAATTATGATTATGATGATGTTATTTTTATTAAACTTCGTTTTTATATATAGCAGGGGACGACGTCAAACTCTTTCTCGATCAGTTAATGGCTGTATTTTTATATTCTACATTTATTTGTCCTTATTATTTCGTAATTAATATTATTAAGGATACAAAAAATTAATATATTTAATTTGTTTTACTTCAGAATTCAAATGCGTAGTTTATTTACATTGGGATGCTGTTACATCAGTTCATATTATTTCTGTTCATTATTATTATATTAGTTATCTAAATTATTATTTCAATATTATTTTAATAATTTTCAAAACTTACTGGCAATGTTTATTTTTGTCAACTAATGAATGTAAATACTTTTGTTATTAATTGCAGGAATTTAAATTTATCACATGATTTTAGTTATACATATATATATATATATATATATATATATATATATATATATATATATATATGTATAAAGTTATATATATAATATTTTAGTTATATATATTGTCTGCGTGTGTGTACTTTTTTTTATTTTATACTTGTGAGGTTTAGATTCTGTTTTCTTTAAATAATCTTGACGTTTTAATATGCATTTTAACATCAAAATTCATTTTATTTGTCATTTCTCCTTTTTTGTTGATGGCTTCGCGTATTGAGGCGTATTGTGTGAGTTTGTCTGTATCCAAAATCTTCTGTTTAAAGTATAGTTAGCGCTATAAGATTAATTTTGTCTGGTATTTTTACTTGAGTTCCACTTTTAAACTGCCATCATATGATTTTAAATGTGATCAAAGTGTTTTAATTTAATCGCGTCCGTATATATAAATTCTTCATAAAAACAAGTTAATATATATATATATATATAGTTAATATATATATAGAAGTTATTTCAAACGCAGAAACAAAAATATTTGTTCACCTTACCAAAAATTTGTTGCAAACCAATGATGACAGTGATGGTGCCTTCGTGCTGCCAGAATATTTTTATTTTTAGTATTTTAGTGATTTTCTCCTTGCCATCTTGCTCTTCGTTGGCCTCCTCTGTTTGCCAGAGCAGTAGAGATTGGTGCAGAAATAGACAGTTTGCTAGGAGGTGTCAGGTCTGTCTTATTTTTCTTCAATCCTGAATGTTAATTTTTTAATTTATTAAAAATCTGTAAAGTAAACTAAACATAAAATAAAATAATTTTATTTTTTGTCGTTAATTTAGTAAAAATATGTATGAAAATTGCACACAAATTAAAGTGAAATATTTTAGTGATCAAAGAATTCAAATGATTCATGTTGCATAATCATTCAGCAAATTTAAATGTAAAAATTACTGACAGGTTGAGCTTCAATGTGAAAAATACGTCTGGAGAGGCAGTCAGCCACCAAACAATGAGGAGGATGGTGATGCAAATAACAAGAAAAATAACAATGTTGGTGAAGATGATGATGAAAATGATAAACATTACTATGGAGATGATGATAAAGTAGTTCTTGGGTTCTATTATGAAACTTTGTGCCCTGATTGCAAGAATTTGTTTGCCAGTCAACTGATCAAAACTTACAAAGATCTTTCATCCATTTTAGAGCTAGATCTTGTTCCATATGGGAATGCTGAAGTGAGTAGATATCATTAAAAACATCTGTATGATAAAAGTATGTACATACAATTTTGTGAGTTTCCCTTGTTAAGTGCATGAAAATGTTTTGTGTCAATTATACGAATATATCATGAAAATAATGTGAGAATGGTAATAACATTTTTTAAAAATTGAAAAATCAGGAGGTGTGGAATCATGACAGATGGGATTTTTTATGCCAGCACGGACCCGAAGAATGCCACATCAACATGATCCACGTATGTCACTTCCGAATTTTTATCTCAAATAGCTATCCTTAAGACTTGTCCTGTATTCAAGTGTATGCATAAGCGGGGTCACATCAAGTAAGAGTGTAACTGCTTAGCATAAATCTGTACACAATAATTGTACATATGCATACATACCTTGTAAAGGTGTGTATACTACTTTGTACAATGTAAACATTACATGTAATTATGTATAGCTTGTAAAAATACATATATACACAGTATAGATGCGTATATACTTAACACAATTGTGTATGCACCTCGTACAAATAATTTTTAAAATGTATACCAACCACATATACAGTCTTGTGCTCTGGACATCTACCCATTCAACCTGACGTTTGCCTTCCATGCTTGCACAGAAACTACAAAATTATTTTTGGAACAAGTTGAGCGGAAATTAACAATTTTTTTCAAACATGATATTTGTGTTGCTAGTGTGTCTGTGTACATTGAGATTTTTTTTAATCTTTTGAAGGTTAATTCAATCTATATCAAAGAATATATTCCTTAACATTGTGATTATATATAGAAGCCAAATACACACACACATACATTGATAAACATGTGATATATTCATATTATCATAATATTATGACATATAAATTAATACACATACATGACTGCTTGAAGTGTGCCACAAAATACGGACTGGACCTTGCTGCCCTTGAGAAATGTGGGTCGAGTAGTCATGGAAACCAGCTGGAACACATGATGGCCGACAAGACTGACAACCTCAACCCTCCCCACCAATACGTGCCCTGGATCACCATCAACGGGGTTATTATTATAATTATAATTTTAGAATTTTTATAAGGAGTGAGGTGATAATATAATTATGACGAATAATAAATGAAAATTATAACAAATAATAAATAATATTCTCACTCACGCCAGCAACATACAGACAGCATTCAGGAGCAGGCTGAAAGAGACATGGTATCATTGGTCTGCAGAGCTTATAAGGTTTATGATTAATTATTATATTGTAACTGATTTAATCTTTGCAAACAACAGCAAAGTCGATGATGGTGATTAAATCAAGATGGTGATTAAATCAATTATTGGAGAGTGGCTGATGATGACCGAGAGTGATTGTGATTAAAGTTGATGCAAGCGAAATAAATGCATTTATATTATACGTACGTGTGATTCAGTCAGAATTGGTGCTGGTCACCATTCAAATAAAAATTGTGTTTCAAATTCGAAGTTAACTTTCGTTGTTGGATTTTCAGGGTTCCAAGAAGCCAGCAGCCTGCAGTGATGGTAAAGCAAGGAGATGTAGGAAGATCTAGAAATTTAAACCTCAATTCAAATCAATGTCATGTTTGTTTTTGTGTAATTTTTATAAAAAATATCCAGTTGACAATAGTGACACTTGATGCTTCAATCGACATATACATACGTGATTACGTGCGTGCGTGCCTTGATGGTTTGTGTATTTTTGAAAACGTTATTTTTATTATAAATTTAATCAGAAAAAAATTTCGGTCTAGTAAGAATTGAAGTATAGAATTGAAGACAGACGTAGCACTGCAGTTTCGTCTCTATTGCAATCAAATTACATGAAAGCCAGATATAACATTGCAGTTTTGTCTCTATTACAGCCAGAAATATTGATTATGACGAATATCGTAACACATACAACAGACGAACGCATGCCATCACCATTAAGGTGAGAAATCAACGCTAACAAAATGGACAAATTCGTAGTAAACTATTTATTATTGAGTAAACTCCAGATAATCGATTAAATTCATTAATATAAGCGGGATGATGTATCTCACACATATACGTGCTGTTGTGTTTGTGTGTGTGTGCGTGAAGTTAATCGATTGGTTGATTATTGTTAATCATTAATACGATTAACAAGGGTAAGATATATTTTCACTTTTAAATATAATCAAGAGTTTAAATTTTTAAATATGCAAGGTGTATAGGATTGCAGCTAATGAAACGCGCATACACACAAACACATGCAGACTATATATATATATATATATATATATATATAATATATATGATCTTATTATAAACTGCAATAAGCAATATTACATACTTCCAAAAAATTTTTCATAAAAGCGTTGTTGTTACCTTTAAAAAGCCGATGTATGTAATGCAATTTATCAAACTCATGTAGCCGTATATAAAAGAATAAATATGTAATAATAATTACTAATTATTTCTGTTATAAGAACGCTAGTAATAAAACAAAAGATCTGACAGAATGTTTGAATGAATGGATAGATGAATGGATGAGTGAATGAATAAACCATTTAAAAATGAAATGCACATTATAATTTTAGCTACTTTTAAATTTAAACAAAAAGAGAGATTCAATGTTTAAGTGTTAATTAGCGCAGAATTATTAAAATCATACAACTACCCGTCCATCAATAAACATCGTCAGGCTTTTCCCTATTTCTGATTGGTTAACACTCTATAGAAATGAATATTAATGAGCTCTAATGAAATTTCTTTTTTAACGTAACTAACATAGCTTAATAACTATGTCATAAGCAATAGATACACGTAGGCATGTACAAAGAACAATCACATAATTCACATATAAGCAATTATATATGCCTAATATATGTATATATACAAATGTATGTATATTAAGTTTGTATGCATACAAGAATAATCATAGCAATATATACATATCCATCATCTGAGTGTCGTTAAAATGGCAATGAAATGATTGTAATAATGATGGTTACGACGGTGGTGATGATGATGACTGGTACCATGTTACGAATTTTGATGATCCAAATCTTTGGAGATGTGTTTCTTCTGTCATAAATTTATTAAAAAAAGTTCAAAGTGCTTGGCCATGCAATTCAATTGAATGATTGATTGAATGTATAAATGAATGAACCAGTGAATGAATGAATGAACGAACGAGTGAATGAATGAACGAAAGAGTAAATGATTAAACTATAATTATTAATAAAAATAACAAAAGCAAACTCGAAAGTCGTCAAATTATTATAAGAGTGATGGAGAACAAAAATAGAATAATCATCAAAACAAATGGAATGAAAGTGAATGAAGACGGACGTTGCTACAATTAAATTAACAATAATTACAACAATGATTTATCATCATGTATCATCGCTAAATAAGTCATCCTAATTAATAATGACCTATTTAACTATTAATTATACACATGTTGACCCAGATAAATACATACTACATATGCGATAATAATAACTTCGTATTTATAGGTAAATAGCACAAACAACATCAACAAAGAAATACAACATCAAAAATGATAAATTTAATGATGACAATAATCGTGAAAATATTAATTTGGGATGATTATTAGTACAATTATGAAAATCAATTTTACGAATATTATTCCTTGAAATTATGATAATTACGATTGCAGACTTCACCATCACTTCACAATCTCAAATTTTGCTACACAATATGAAGATATTCAAACGAATAACGTAGAATAAAGTAAATCAATCATCAACAAATAAATAAATATATATATATTTTAACAAATTAATATTTTTCATCTTTGGTTTTTCCTCTAATTTAATTGGTTGCTTAGCAACAGTTGCTAGCCTGGTTGCCAGTCTGATTGGATGATCCAGCTGACCTCATTTGACCTTGATTGGGACCCAGTTTGATGCCATTGGCCTATTAATCAGGTCAGGAATAATTAATTAGTTGGTTATTTTACAAATAATATGACAGAGAAATGCATAAATTCATTCAAATTTATCTGAACTTGGATGTTTAAATTCAATAACTAGGAAAATGTTGAATAAATTATGCAAATGAACTTGACTTCGTTAGTGACATCAAAAACGCCCTCTTGTATCTTTTGGTATATTTGCTTGGCTGTGTTTATGAAAGCCTGTAAAGGTGAAGGTTGAGTATTTAAATGAACAAACACTAGCACATACAAGTTGCATACATTATAATAGATGGACATTAAACAAAAACATCTTAGCAGCACTAGCTACCTCTTCAACATTAGCAGCAGTTTTTGCAGAAGTTTCTAGAAAGACCAGTCCGTGCTCCCTGGCAAATGCTTCACCCTCCTCTTGTTTGACCTCTCTGCGGGCTTCGAGGTCACTGAAATTTGGTTGGTTGACAGACAGGCAGAATTTAAACTGTCATGCATACTTTTTTTAACTAGAGCTAACCTCTTATTACCAATAAGCATGATGACCATATTTGTGCTGGAATGCTGTTGCGCATCTTCCAACCAGGTCGTCAGGTGGTTGAATGTGTCACGTCTAATTTTTATTATTTTAAATTTGATTGGTTGTAGAAAAAATATTAAGATAATTTATAAACAATCAAACTCTAGATATTCATCGTAGTGCATACACAAAATTACCTGTGCAAGCAATCAATAAAAAGCTTGCAATGTGTGCCAATCAACTAGCCAATCATAAAAGGCCATTCAAAATATGAAACATACAATCACAGAACACATAAACATCAACAGATTTTACAATTAATTCAAATAAATTAAAAAAATTCCATGTTACAAAATAATGATTGCAAATAAAACATCCTACTATAACAGACTTTGCATACAATGCAAATCATTCAACCAATCACAGGAGATTTTACAATTTTATATAAACTAATCAACCAATCACATAAGACCTTGTAATGTCATAGACCAGTAGGGCACCAGCTGCTCCTCTGTAGTAAGACCTCGTTATGGATCTGAATGACTCTTGGCCTGCCTTTTAAAAAATGCAACAATTTTTATAAAATTTTCAATAAAAAGTTGAGATTAGTTGGATATTAAAAATAAAACCAATTTTATTAATTAATATTTATTTAAGGAGATATTTTTAAAAATTTGAAATTTACTTACCGTGTCCCAGATTTGAAGTTTAATCTGCTTATTTTCAATGTTGATCATGCGAGCTCCAAACTCAACACCTTATTTATTTGATGAAAAATGGCTATAACTTTTAATTTTAATCAATAATTTTAAAAATATTTTTTAAATTATAATAACTAAACAATATAATTAGAAATTGTAATGATACATAAATTAAATTATTTAAATTGCCCTAGCTAACCGATCGTTAGATCGTGAACTGGTTGAAATCTTTTGTCTGTGAACTGCAGTAGTAGGCAAGACTTGCCAACAGCTTTGTTGAGTAAGAGAATTTATAATTGAAATAAATGGATTGTAATAATTTTAAATATTAATTTTTAAAGAATGAACTGATCGGTTAGCCAGATTTATTTACGGCGGCCATCACAATCATATCATGGCCAGTCAAAAACTAAATTACGAATTTCAGGATTAATCATCAATAATTCAATATCCATAACAACTTACCAGTGTCTCCTATAATGATGTATTTGAACAAATATGAATAAGACATTCCGTCGGTTAGGTAATTAGGGAATCTGTCCGCAGAGATTTTAATTTAAAGCAGAAATTATTTAATTAAAAACTCTTGTTTCGACAAAAATGGCTATTTACGAAAATATTACAAATCACAATAAAAAGACAGCAAATGCATTTTAAAGGGTCGGACTATTTGGCTCCGTTGGATTATTTCATTATTTCTGGCTTACTAATGAAAATGGTTGGGTCATGGTTATGACAGACAAACTAAATGAAACATTTACTCGACTTATTGGGTATAAAACAATGTTGTAATTAAATTGAGTTGTGTATTTAAAAATTATTTTTGTCAATTTGGATATAAAAATTGCTTTTTGTCCAGTGAAATAAAATAGCATACTGAAAGTATTATAGGTTGATGCTTAGGTTGGCTCACTAGGATTGAACTATAACTATTCGATCTTGTTAATCAATCAATCAATTAGTTTATAAAACGCTATTTTCACAATGTTTAACAGCGCTCCTCAATAAATTTTGCAAACAAATGGGTCTTTAGATCAGCTCTGAACTACGTAAGTGATGGAGAAGTCGTCAGAGAGGAGGTAGAAAGTTCCATAAAAAAGGACCAGAAAAAGCAAATGTGCAAATTTTAAGAATTATTCTATATTTTTTAGGTAACCAGTGCAAAAGAACAAGATATGGAGATATATGAGAAAAGAAAGGGGCACGAGCAACTAGACGAGCTATTTTAATGGAACGTTGTATTTGTAGATAAAACATAATTATACAAATTATAGCATATGATTCAGTCACTGTCAAAGATAATTTACATATAGTTTACAATAGATTTATTTTTCTAGATTTCATTGTCGCAAACTGATCAATTATGTTATTTAAATCTGTCATTTCTAATGTTTCTCTTTCAACAGTGAGAAGAGCAAGATCACTGAGACGATCCTGTCCCATCGATGCGCGCAGATACGATAAAACAAGTTTCAATTTGCTGAATGATCGCTCACAGCTTGCAATTGAAACTACTATTGTCAATTAAATTTCCCTGTCCCATCGATGCGCGCAGATACGATAAAACAAGTTTCAATTTGCTGAATGATCGCTCACAGCTTGCAATTGAAACTACTATTGTCAATTAAATTTCTAGCGAAATTCCAGATTAGGCAATACTTTATTTCCATAAAACAATAAAACCAAGAAGATTCAAAAGACTTCCTGAGCTTCAGTTCGGTCACTGAGCAGCATTCTGCTTGCAGTCACCAATTTCGATGAGAAGTTCGTAACCATCGATGTCCGTGTCGTAGAAATTTGTAAAATTTGTACAATTAATACGAATTGCATCCGCATCTGTGGCAGATAGAAGAGTCTTAACGTCCAGCAAAAATCCAAATTTGTTATTCAGGTATTTTAGTCGTGAAAAACGTGTGCCACCTCATGTTGAAGCCGATCAAATACATTCGTCATAACAGCGGATTTTAACTCATGTTGTGAAAATTTGTCAGTCTCATTTTAGCGCCTCCTATACTTGGCGCCCGGAGACATGTACCCCTTTCCCTCTAGCTACGCCTCTGCCCTGAGATACCCCAAAAGTAAGGGTAGAAGAGTTAGAAGTAGAATTATTAGGAACAACAGAAGAAAACGATTACAGAGATAAAAAGAAAATCAAGATAGACAAGAATTAGTAATATTAAAAGATTGATCTAGCAGCCTCAAGAGAATAGCATATGATCAACAGTATCAAAAGCAGAGGAAAAGTCAAGAGCAAGAAGAAGAGTAAGATTACTTTTGTGATTAGAGAGAAGGATATCGTTATGCATTTTGAGTAAAGAAGTTTCAGTACTGTGAGCAGGTCTGACACCAGATTGATTATGTGACTAGTTATTGACTTAGCAAGTCATGTGGTCGATAAGGGAAAAGAATGTTTAAAGAGTAAGAATGTTTAAGCATAGTAAGCAATGTGAGTAAACCAATGATTTGAAAATACTAATAAATAGAGTAATTAATTAATAGATTAGTTAATGACTTAATAAGTAAGTTAATTGTTCGTTAAAGAAAGAGAATAAGCAATATTGAACAAATGACACAGGTTTATTGAAAGGTGTCTTGTAATGAAGGTCTTATCCTGATGAGTGTGTTCAATGTTTGAGCGACTGTTGGTTATGATGCAAGTAGATACAGATAGTTGAGGAGTGTTAGTTAAAATTTGTAAAATTTGCAAATCTAACAGCGTTAACATATTCATATTTTAATTGTTACTATATAAAGCACTTTCAGTTGGTGTAAAACCATTAGAAATCCATATAAATGTATTAAATTAAAAAGGTGTTTTTTGGAACTTTAAATTAATTACGTAAACAAAAATGTTACTACATCAATTTATTGTAGTCTTGTTTCGTCGGCCACTTGTTTCTTGAAAATTTCCCTATTATTAGCAAGGTTTTGGCGTTTATTTTTGTTTTAGAATACTTGCAGTTAATTATTTATTTATATTTAAAGTTAATTTTTTATTTTGTTTTTTAATTTTTGAATAAATCCCATCAACACGTGTCAACAATAATAACCTATCTGTAAAAAACCTGAACACCACATTGCAACACTCCATTTGGCGAAATTATTGCATCATCTGGTCATCATCATCATCATATTTTCTAACACTTTAATTTGCAATGGATGACTTCATATTTTAGACTTAAAAGATTTTAATTTCAAAATTGAATGAAATTAGCTTTTAAAAAATATTGAGTGGAATAGGAAGGCTTCTTGCTTCGCTCCACTTGTTTAAGTTTTTAAATTTAAATTGTTGTTCTGCAAAACAAAAAACCAATCACAGATCTGGATATTCAGCATATTATATTAATTTTTTCATCAGTTGTTGTATTTCTGTGATTAATTTTTATGCAAACTAAATCACTGTTGCATATGTATTTTGTTGCATATTGTGTCTAATGTATTTTATTGTATTGTATCTATTATTGTGGTATAATTTATAATATGGTAATTAACCAACCATTTATCTTTTTTAATTTTTTAAATTCATTTTATTCTTAAAAAAGATTGATTAAATAAAGGTTAAATCAGATACATAAATAAACTGATGACACTATTAACGTTATTTTTTATATTATAACAATTCAAAAAGAAAATAAAATAAAGAAAGAAGATGGATTCATCAATGACATCAAAGGATGTCAGAGATGGTTTCATTGAGTTCTTCAAAGAAAAGAAGCACACGTACGTCCATTCATCGTCTGTCATTCCACTTGACGACCCCACCCTCCTATTCACTAATGCTGGCATGAATCAGGTTATTTTACTTCTTATCATCCATATGTTCTTATGTGGAATTGTTGGTTTTCTTTTTCCTCTATTTAATTTTTAATATTTAATAAAAAAATTATTTGTTGTTTGCTTGTGTTTATATAGATAGAATCTTTTGTTAAACACCAAATTAGCTTCTATCTTATTAGTCATGTATAACATCAGTGAACAAATACTTTATTTCATTTCAATAAATTTATCAAATAATTAAATTAAAAAAGTACTTTTACAATTATGCCTAACCTAACATAACCACTCTCTCCCTAACAGTTCAAGCCAATTTTTTTAGGCACAGCTGACCCAAAGAGTGAGATGGGGAGATTGGTGAGAGCAGTGAACACGCAGAAGTGCATCAGAGCTGGGGGCAAGCACAACGATTTGGATGATGTCGGCAAAGATGTCTACCACCATACCTTCTTTGAAATGCTTGGCAACTGGTCGTTTGGAGAATATTTCAAGGTGAGAGAGCAAGAGAGAGAGAGAGAGATAAGTAAAATAGTTCAATATAAATATTAAGCATATCAGAAAGGCATTCTTAATAATCATCACCATTCTCTTAACTGTAGAAAGAAGTGACGGAGTGGGCGTGGGAACTTCTAACAGTTCGATGGAAGATGCCCAAAGATCGATTGTACGTCACATATTTTGGAGGAGACCGAGAAAGAAACCTACAGCCTGATCTGGAGGCCAGAGATTGCTGGATCAAATTGGGGTCAGGGGTTTACATTTGCATTCTTTGACCTTTTTTAGTACAATATCAGACTGATGTAAGGTTTGTAATTTTAAATTACCTTCACTATAAACTATTTTTAATGATGAATATCAATCTAATCCCATGATATTATTACTTCTATGTTGATTTTCCCAATCATCAGTGTTCTCTGATTGGTTAATTCCCTTTAGTGACTAATTTTTCATAATTAAAAATCTCTCACTAGTCATAAATTTTCATAGCCAAAACAACTTTACAATGAAAACGACTGCATCACACTAACAGCCTGCCGCCAGAGAGAGTCATGCCATTTGGAATGAAGGAAAACTTTTGGATGATGGGTGAAACAGGTCCCTGTGGCCCATGCTCTGAAATCCATTTCGACAGGATTGGTGAGTTTGTGATAGGGCCGGGGTTGCCAGGGCTACTCATAAAAAGAATCACCACCATTGCTACCACTGGATAATGCTGATGATATTGATAATGATGATGACGATCACACACACAGACACACACACACACGCGCACACACACAAACACGCATAGGTGGTCGAAATGCCGCTCATCTTGTTAACATGGATGTTCCAGACGTCCTAGAGATATGGAATCTCGTGTTCATCACTTATAACATGTTTGTGATGGCGATAGTGCTGGTGTTGATGGCGGTGATGAAGTTGATGAGGAGGGTGATGTTGTAAATAATTGTACTGAGGTGACGAAAATATAATGGTTATTAAGAGTTGCGTCAACACTAGGTATTAGACGTCAACATACATATTCACCGTTTTATATTATACTTGATCAGTTTTACAACATCACCAGATAAGATCAATATTCAACATTCAAAATAGGGAATCCGATGGTTCCTTGAAGGACCTTCCAAAAAAGAACATAGACTGTGGGATGGGGCTTGAAAGGGTTGTTTCTGTGATCCAGGGTAAAGGTTCCAATTACGACACCGACCTGTTTCAGCCACTTTTCCAGGCTATTAATAACGTTGGTTGATTGTGATTGACTGACTAATTGATTGAGTAAATCAACCAACCACCAAACATTCCGTCACATAATTAATCAACCAACGCCACTAACTAACCAACCGACCGACACCAGACAATGCAGTGCAGAAAGTACACTGGCAAGGTTGGAGAGGAAGACAAGGATGGAGTGGACATGGCCTACAGAGTGGTGGCAGACCACGTCAGGACTCTTACGGTTGCTCTGTCAGACGGTGGCCGGCCGGATAACGTTGGCAGGGGGTGTGTTTTTAGTTTTGTTAAATTATTTGTTTTGTTTCTTCTAAGTTTTAATCTTGTGAACATTTTTTCTTTGTTTTACTTTTAATATTTTGATCTACAATCTTTGAATATTTGGATATAGGATGCTACTGGTTACAAAATTTCAAAATATTTTTTTGTTCGTTTGCAATTTAAAAAATAAATTAAACAATGAAATAATTTTTCTTTTGAATTCAAAAATAATTGCTAATTGATCAGATATGTTCTCAGAAGAATTCTCCGAAGAGCCATTAGATACGCCACTGAGAAATTAAACGCCAAACCCGGCCAGTTGGCTTCATTGGTTGATGCTGCCATTTTTATTCTGGCTAGTTTCACTTTCTATTTGTTTTTGTAACTTCAATTCTATCATGCTGCTATTTTTTCATTAATATTTGGCTATATTTAATTTTAAGTTTCACTTTCTATTTTGTTGTTTTTCAACAGGGTGGGGCTTTCCCTGAGATCAAGAAAGATCCTGATACTGTAAGTTTTGTCATCGTCAACATCATCATCGTCATTCTGATTGTCATCATCATTATCGTTGATATCGTCATCATCATCATCATGAAGGTGAAAGACATAATTAATGAAGAAGAGGCCCAATTTTTGAAGACCCTATCAAGAGGTCGAAGGTTACTGGAACGTACCATTGACAAATTAGGGGGTGCCAAGATACTACCTGGTTAGATTATCATAGAAAGTATATTTAAAATTTGGTTATTAATTACTCTAATTCTACATTCTAAGTCAACCGACCAACAACGAATGATTAAATATTAATACATTTATTTCTTGACCCAATTGCATCTAACCATTATTTAATAATTGATATTCATAATCTGACCTAGATAAAAATCCAACCAATGACAGGTGACATAGCCTGGAGACTGTACGACACGTATGGATTCCCCGTTGACCTGACCCAGTTAATGGTGGAAGAGAGAAAGATGAAGATTGATCACGTCGGATATGAGGAGGCAAAGAAAAAGGCGCAGGTTTTTATCGTCTTTTTTTTATTATTATCATCATCATTCATTGGCTAGATCATATCAAATGAAATTTACTGTTTATTCAAGTTGCTCTCTCAAGGAGGTGGAGCCACAGTGGATGAAGAGATCTCATTGGACGTCCACTCAATCAATGAATTGAAATCGACCAATCAGGCGATCACTGATGATTCACCTAAATTTGAATATACAGCTGATGATAAGGGAAATTATGGTAATTAAAATAATGATTATAACACAGTTGCTATCATCATCATTAACGTCCTCATTCCCATCGTTCAACATTTTTTATCACTACTTGCCATTCATTTGTTCGTAATAATCAATATTTCACTATCCTGATTATTTTATTCGTCACCATCTCATTCATCCATATTAATTAACCATCAATCAATCAATCAATAAACCAACCAATTAAAAGTCTTTCAGAGCTGTCAATCAAAAATAATGGCGATACGAAAGGGCAAAAAGTTCGTGAACGAAGTAACACCTGGCGAGGAGTGTGGAATTCTATTGGACAGGACTAATTACTACGCTGAGCAGGGCGGCCAGATATATGACGAGGGGTACATTGTCAGGTGTGACGATGAGGTCAGTGAAGATGATGAATTGAGGAATGAAAATGTTTGCAATTGTACGTAGCGACGATGGGGCGGTACGCTTTCAAAATAATTTCAAATTTTTAAAAACTAGATTGAGCAATTTTTTTCGTTTTCACAGTTTTCAAGTATGAAATACGATATTCTAACATGGCAATAATTTCGAAACAGAGTAACGAGATTAAAGTGAAAAATGTGCAAGTGTATGCTGGCTACATTTTGCATGTCGGAAATGTTGAAGGACATTTCAAAGTTGGAGACGTCGTTAAGTGTTTCATTGATGAGGTTCACTCTCTTTCTGCTTCAACTTTCATTTTTTGTTTTTACTGATTCATCAACATCAACCTAATTTCATTTACAAAGGACCGACGCAAAGGTATAATGAAGAACCACACCGGCACTCATGTACTAAACTTCTCACTGAGGAAGGTTCTTGGAAGCACCGATCAAAAAGGTTCTCTCGTAGCACCTGACAGAATGAGATTTGATTTCACTGCCAAGGTCGAATTAATATTTAGCTAAAAGCAAATATCGTTTTTTAACATTAATTCAATTGTAAATATATTGTGAATACGGTTACTATCGCCATCTTCATTATCCTATTCACCGGCATCACGTTCATCGTCGTCGTCATCTTTACCATCATCATCATCATCATAGGAGGCTCTGAAGCCATCAGAGGTGGAAAGTGTAGAGAAGATAAGTAACACATTCACTCGAGGTGGTCGCACAGTGTACTCGAAGGTCGTTCCTCTGGCACAGGCCAAAGCCATTCAAGGATTGAGAGCTGTCTTTGATGAGGTCATTAACACGATGATGGTGACGATGCTTGTTGAGATGAAATTTGAAATATTAGTTTTGGCGAGGAATATGATGAAGTTGCGGATAACAATGCTGATCGCTGAAATAATGATGATTGTGAAGAGGATGAGGGTAACAGAAATGATGATAGTGATGATGATGTTGCTGTTGATCTTCTCCAGACTTACCCAGATCCCGTAAAAGTGGTTTCAATTGGGACACCAATTGAAGAACTCCTGAAAGATCCTAATGGCCGCCATGGCTACGAAACTTCCGTGGAATTTTGCGGAGGAACGTAAGTTAAGATGACGTACTTTCATTCGTTTGTTCATTCTGTGATCCTTTTATACATACTCACTCATACTCACCAGCTTCTTCCTTAACCCGGCCCAAATATAATGACCCACTATTTACAACAATAATTAACCCGACCCAATTTTCTTGACCTTCATAGCCACCTGGTGAGAAGTGACGACATTGGAAGTTTGGTGATCGTTTCAGAGGAGGCCATTGCCAAAGGACAAAGAAGAATTGTTGCTGTAACTGGAACAGATGCTAAGAAGGTAATTATAATAGTTATTATCATTTATATTTGTTATTATAATTATATGAATGATGATAACTTTAGGCTCTGCATAGATCTGAACTGCTCGAAAAGACTTACGAAGATCTGAAGGAGAAAGTTGACGGCAGCCAGAGCAGTGATGTGTCAGTGCAGAAGGCTCTTGTGAGGGAGATCGTCGAACTGACTAATGTAACTGTTTTTTAAAAAAATAATTTTCACAATTTCGATATTATAACAATCAACAATTACGCAATATGCATTCATAATTTCGTTATTATGATCGGCGATAATAATTTTAAAAATCACAGGAAGTGAACCAGGCCGTGATACAGTCTTGGAAGAAGGACAATATGAGAAATAATTTGAGCAGCCTCAAAAAAATCTTGGATGATGTTGAGAGGAAGAAAAAAGCTGCTATCTCTAATGAGGTTGGTTGATTGAATAGTTGATTGGTTAGTTGATGATTGATTGATCGATTGACAGGTGTTATCAGAAGTGCTAAGATGCACAGTTCAAGAGGATTGGTGCAGTGTTTATGTCGTCAGAGAGTTCAAGGCACTTTCTGATGCTAAGGTTCGTTGAAATTAGTTAAATGTTGATAATTCATTTCTCAAGAATTTCAGTTTATGCATTTAACCTTTTTCAAAATTACCTTAAAATCAGTTCAATATTATTATATCACTATATTATGAATAATTGAAGGCGCTGGATGGAGCACTGAAGCAATACAAGACAAACTTGCCAAACACATCTTGCATGCTGTTTTCTGTTGACTTCGAGAATGGCAAGATATTGTGCATGGCAGCCGCTGCACAGGTTATCATCTATATTCTGATTGATACTGCATTAATTTTATTACATTGACATGACTCACAGAAACTTACATCGACTTATGAAAATTATTCGTAAAGAAATTTTAAATCATTTCTAAACATGCAACGATATTGTAAACACGTTATTTTTAACTCCTAAACCTTTATACTTTATAAATTTTCATAAAATAACATTTAAAACTATAAATATTCATAAAATGACCCACATAAACGAACCGGCCAATAGGATCACATAAAGCAAGGACTGAAGGCCAATGAATGGATAGGGAGCATCCAGGAACTAATCAAAGGAAAGGGTGGAGGCAAGGATATGAACGCTCAGGCCACTGGAACACAGGTGGTGATGACGATGATGTTGGTAACATTGGTGGTAATTATGGTTTGTAATTGTGGCGATTCAAATAAAAATGGCGATTCATATGAATTTGTACTTGCATTTATAATGTGTTAAAACAAGTGAACAACAACAACAACCAACCACAAACAGCCAGACCAACTGAACGAAGCAATGAAGCAAGCTTCGCGTTATGCAGTCAGCAAGTTGCAACTCCTACAAATGGACAACGTCAAGCCAATCTCGGACTCTGGAACCCTTCAAAAAGTTCAACCTATCATAGAGGCCCATCTATCTAATCGCAGTTACATTGCAAGTCACCGTCCCAGCCAGAATGATTCCGTCGTATTTAGAGCGTTAGAATCAGCCATCTTGTGTCCGGAAAAGTTTCCTAACTTGTGTAGATGGCGCAAGCACCTCTCCTCATTCGGTCTGCAGGTTTACAAGTTGCCTGGGGTGTGCAAAAGTTTCGATGAAATCATCGCATCCATCCAATCAATGCCTGGCGGAGATAATTAATAAGGATGAAGATGATCATGATGAGATAATTGAGAATAAGAATAATAATAACAACATCAATAAAGGATATAATCAATAACGAAATAATTTAATGATCTTACAGAACAGTTTTTAGAGAGTTAATGATATTTCAGTAATGTCATTCTATAATAATCACCTTTTAAATTTCTAATAAATAGATGCCATTAATTGAACAATGCGACGAATTGATAAGATTTATGCAGCACATCTAGCACGCACTTTCAGTTATTATATAATAAATCACAATATTTATAATAACAACTATGTGAAACGTAAAAGCATGTTAATGAAAATTTGTTTTGTAACATAAAATAACTGCTCACTTTCACCGGCCTGCTTCTGTCAATGCTTCTACCGAAGTTAAGCTTCTCTAGGATTCATTTTATGACCATTGTTGAAATTTGCTCGTTTGTCATATTGACGTCATCACCTATTCAATATTTCTTTCTTCCGTTATTAAATCTCGCATCTCAGACTTCTATTCAGTTATTGACATCATCCATGTTTAATATTCTCGTGTTTTTGACACATTGTAACTGTTCAAAGTCGGTTCATAAGGTGTTTAGATAACAAGAAAATAATAAAACTTCAATCTAAGACATACATAGCCAGCCCACTGTTGGAAACTTGCACACACGCCTTGCATTCACGAGCAAAACTATAAATTTTATTTAAAATCCTTTTTTTTTCAAATAAATTCGTCAGTTTGTTTCAATGCTATTCAAATTATTATCATACATAAAAAATAAACTGTATGCGTAAAAGGGCAATATTCAACGTTTAATTGAAAAACTTTAAGCGATTTTAAAGCAGCCTGTGCGACGAACACGAAAATATGATACATTGGCAATGCGCGGGATGGGTAGCCAGGCGTAATGTGCTACTTTGACGTTCGACACGTGTTGATATAATTTGGTACAATGGTGTTACATACGCACATACAATCACCACACTGGGGTACGTGTTGTGGTGTGCATGGTATTTCGAAACGAAAATTTGAATTCGAATGAGTCACGAAAGAGAAAACTGTAAAGAGTAAAAGTTGTAAAATGTCAGACAATAAATGTAAGACTGAAAAAATTGTAACAATTATAATATTTAGGATGGCTATTGGTGACGATGTATCGTTTGAATGCATGTGCGAACACCAGGCAGTAAGTACAAAGAACAATTTCAAAACAATTAATGACTGCCGGTATTGAAGATTTTTAAGATGATGATGACGATCAATTATAAACATTTATAAAAGTAACAAATGTGTTATTCATAAATAACTATTCGTGAAAAAATGATGTCGGTATAATACCTAAGAACAAACTGCCACTGTGAATACCATAAAAGCAACATGTACGTATGTATATATATATATATATATGTGTGTGTGTGTGTGTGTGTGTGTGTGGAATTTATCTCTATTTTTATTAAAATGATGGTGACAAATTTAACGAACTAACAAATCAATCAAAACATGAGCAAATGAGTTAAATGAAAGCAAGAGTGGTGAACGAATGAACGATTGATTGAGCAAAGGAGTGGTGATCGAGAAAATAAATGAGTGAATGAATGAATGAATGAATGAAAGGAAAAGTAAACGAATAAAACAACAAAAAGAATGAAAGGAAGGTAGTGCCAGAATAAGGAAATAACCCAGCTGAAACATGATCGTTCATTTCATATTCATATAGAAATAACCTCAAATTATGAATTAATATATAAAACATCCCTTTCTCAATAAAAACCCATCTCAACATTAAAATGTCTGGTACGATATTCATGATTTGGTTCGAAAAAATTTAGAAAAATTGTAAATATATGAAGAGATAGAAAAGTAGAAGTAGCAGCAGCAGTAGTAGTAGCAGTAGCAGTTGAAATAATTGATAATTCTTTGTTATGGAAATACATAGGAATGAACGGAAAGCAGTAAGAAAATTTTGTAAAAATTTATGTAAAAAACCAGTCTAGATACAAAAATTTTCAAAATACATTTGTACGCCTGCAAGTAAGTGTATCTGTGTGTGTGTGTGTGTGTGTGTGCGCACGTATACGTATATATGCATGGCGTAGAAAATGAATAGATGAATGATAACAATGAAAATAACAAAGATAATAATGACATTGATAACAATTGTTATAATAAGATAAAAAAAACTATTCTCAATGTTGTTATATATTAAACTGATGACGATGGGGGCGTCAGCATATATATATATTTATTTATTTATTCATCGATTGAAGTGTAATATAACAGGTTTTCTTAGAAATTCGATTGGCAGAAAATATCTAGATTATATGCGCGTTATATACGTTATCAGAGGAAGATATCATGTAAAATAAAATCACGAAAGATAGATTAAAAAGATTAAAACCAGTGTTAATGAGTTAACTACAAAATGATCAGGATGATTAGAAAATTTATGTATAAATGTGTGTATGTACAATGTACATGTCTGTATAAACGTGTCTCTATGTGTATGTCATTGAAATTCTTTAGTTAAAAAGTTTAGATATGATTTAAAAACAATAACGATAATATTGAAAAGCTCTCAATAAGCTGATTGCATATAAATTATGAAAGTGAGTGAAACTGAAACTATTAAAGGTTATCCTTAAGAACTATAAATAGCGCTGAGGAGAAATATTTCCCCAATAATTATTTCAGCTCCATGACAACAAGCAGCACTTAGAATTGAACTCGAAAAGCATTGAAACCGGCGTCCTGCTCCTGCAACTGAATGGCGCATCTCGAAGCGGGAGGAGTTATGACAATCTTTGCACCAACCAAATGATCAACTTTATTCTTCAGCCAATCACGGAGTACGTTCGTATCGTGGGTGGGTACGATACTCACTTCTGATTGGTTGTCGTCCCAGGAAGCACGCGCCTCAACCAGGTTGTCAATCAGTTTTGCGTCGGGGTAAGCAGAGCTCAAGACATAATACTTTGACCTGACCTTCCTGAAGAAATCAACATCTGGATGATTTGGTATGTAGGTCAGATCAACATAGAAACCAACAACAGGTTTTGAAGGTTTTTTGTTGATCTCATTTTTATTTTCAACTGCCTTTGAAGCTGCTTCATTTTTTGTTTTCTTCTGACCTTGCTGTGCGACGTTACCTTTGGCCGGGTCATCTTTCAAGGTCGTGTTGAGTTTCTCTGGGGCAGTTATGGGCCGTTTAGATGCACCCTTGTCTGTGGCTATGATCAATTTTTTAGATTTGTCAGGACTTTTTTGACCAACTGCATCATTTGTTTTCTGTTGTTGTTGATCAACATTGGTGGCCTCAGGTTTGATAGGGGTTGGAAGTCCTTCCGGTTTGTCCCACTCTTTCTGGGGGTCAAACTCCTGCTGCTGCTGCTGCCCTCCTGTCAATGTTGTGGTTGACAAAATTACAATTTATTGAATGCTATCATATGCTAACTACACGTCAACATCAATAAATGAATTTCTGAACAACCAAAAAGCAGCCCAACAAACCTTCATGGTTAGGCTTACCAGGAAAGGAGGATGATGGCAAAGATTCTTGCAGTTCCTGCGCCCCATGTACTTGCTGTTCAGAAGCTTCTTCATGTTGCTGCTCTTCTTGCTGATGTTCATGAGCATGTTGATCCTGTGCCGCTGGTGGGGGCTGAACATCAGTCTCAGCCTGCACTAACAACTTCTGTTCCTCTAGCTCACACTTGCTAGAAACTTCCGTGCTCTCCATCACTTTCTCCTCCGCCTTCGTGCAAGCAGTCGCGACGGGAGCATCCTCCTTGCTGGCTTCCTGTTTGCTCTTGTTATGTTGCTGCTGCTGCTTCAATGGTGTTGATGTTGCAGTGATTCCATGAGGAACCTTAGTAGGGTGAGGAGTTCCAGCTAACTTTTTATCATCAGTTTTTTTGTCGCCACTTTTTGGTGTCTTTGGTCCAGTTGTTGGAGTTTTCGCTCCTGCAGCATTTGCCATCTTTGTAACAGTTTTAGTAGGAGATTTTTGTGGTGATGGTGTAGTTGCAGCAGTAGCTGACGTTGATGTGGGTGGTTGTTTGCTGGCTGCTGTTGGTGATATTTTTGATGCACCTGCTGCCTTCTGATTACCACCATCAGCAGCAGCAGTTGTTGGTTTCTTGATAGGAGCTGGTTTCTTTGTTGTATCTTGTTGTTTCTTTGCATCATTGACTTTGTGGTCCAAGGAAGAAATTGATGGTGTCTTCCCAACACTCCCACCATCTGCTTTCTTGCCATCTTGCTTAATTGTGATTGGCTGCTGTCCTGGTTTAGTCCCACCCACCTTGGACTTGTTAGCACTGGAAGCAGCTGTTCCTGAAGAAGTGGGTGGTTTCTTAGCAACCTTTTCTTGTGCATGACCAAGTAGGCTGGCAAACTCGACGACACTTTTCAACTTGTCAAGACCTTCAATCAATTTCTGATTGGTGAGATGGCCCGGATATAACATTCTCATGCAGTTCTGCTTCAGATGAGCTGCTGGCTTCCATAGCAATGCAAAACTGACTGACAGGTGATCAACCAATGGAATTCCTCCCTTATAACTGTCCACCACCTTGGACCATTGATTGAGGTAATCTTTCAGTTCTTTGCTGTCATAGGTAGGACTGATGACATACATATCTAATGATCCATGACCTACTTTGTAGTACAAGCTGATTGGATGAACTGTTGACCCTATAACTGGCTGGGGAGGAGCCAGGTGAGTGATTGACATATGTTCAGCCAATAATCTTCCTTCCTCAGCAATGCTCACAATCAATCCACTGAAAAAAATGAATAAACGAATGAATGAAGAAAATTTAAAGATTAATGAAATGAAAAGGAATACAAACGAAGTAGTGTGGCCACTTGCTCCATTGTTGTTATTAGCAACGGGGTTGGGCGTCTTATGGCGAGTGTCTCCAACATTCAACATGACAACTCCAACATCTGGACCACCCTTTTCTGTCGATTTCTTCTCAAAAAATGACAAAAGTCCAAAGATGTTGTCGTAGGTGAGTCGTGAAATCATCATGCAGTCGATCCTGTTGAGATGCCTCACAAACTCCCAAAATGTGCAACTCCTCTTATATCTGTTGTCGTGGTTGGAAGTGACAATTATGAGGAGTGACAATGATGAAGATGGCAAGTGAAGATGGTGCCAACTTACGATAATACAAATATAATGATAAAACCTACCCTCCATCAATAAGCATGGTGAATCCCTCAATCCCAAAAACCAGAGATGTACCTTGTCCAGCGGGGAAGATGTAGCAAGTAGGCTGCTCGAAATTAAGCGAGCCAATCGAATCACCTGGCTTCATCCTGTCAGCCACTGAGAATGGTTTCAAGTAGGTTGATATGTTGTCACTGAATTTGATCAATCCTGTTTCATCTTTTAGTGACGTGGCTGGTCTCGAAAGGCGGAGCTTATCAGGGTGATGGTCAATAATTTGATTATTATGAGTTTAAAGATGAACTCTATTGGGGACTGTGGCAAAAACATCAATTATAATGAAAAAAATATGAACAGAAACCAACAGAAACATTCAACATCACTCACACACCTCAAACATATACTCAAACACACACCCACACCAACCTTCAACTTTGGAGCCAACTTAGACAGCAAAGCATCATTCCAGTCAGCAAACTTCTCCACCAAACTGACATCCCCCACAACAGAACCCTCTCCTCCTTGCAAATCCAACTTTTTAACAATTTCCTGGAAATGATGAAATGTGAATGCTCCATCCTGAAGTAACCAGGCTCCATTATTCTGCAGAACTGGACCAGAATGAAGCAAATATTTGTAAGTAGAAGGTCTGGTGAGGAAGTCAGTTACAGTAGCAACAGTGCTTTCTAGGCTGGGATTAATGAGGATAGATGCATGCAGCTCAGGGCTTTCATGCTCAAATCTTTTCTCAGCTTCATTTGAAAAAAATTATTTTCAACTTAAAAATATAATATGAAAACAATAATTTTAAACAAATAATAAAAAATATATAAAAAAATTAACTCATTTTTGGTTTTCAATTTATCTAAAAAAAACCTTCTTGATTGGAAGATTGGAAAGCAGAGCAGGAACTAAGTTGCTGGTTGAGATCACATTTTGATTGGTCCACATCCCAGGCACTTAGTTCTTTAAAAGAAATCAATCAATCAACTAATCAATCAACTAATCAATTAACTAATCAATCAACTAATCAATCAACAAAGACTTAACTAACATACATGATACACAACCATAGTTAATTTTGGTGTAAAAATATATTTAATCTGTAATAAATATCAAACAGGTTAAAGTAACACACAAACACACACACATGAATATATGCATCATACCTATCACATATCTGAACAATTCATATATGACCTATATATTGTTTGCTAGTGTTATCTGGATGAGTCAATAGAAAATTTTTAAACTGATATATATATATATATATATTAATTATATATATATATATCAGCATTGTCAGCAAAACTAATTATATATATATATATATATATATATATGTGTGTGTGTGTGTGTGTGTAAATGGATGAACTTGTTTACAAATGATAACACCTGGTGTTATGATGATATGAGTTTAAAACACACAGTTATGACTGTTTTGTATACATTCTACATGAAACCACACATACACACACATATACATACACAACATACAAAATAATACACATGAACCACATTGTCACACACACCATTCTTTTTTAACATCTGTATTAAGCATTTTACTAAGGAGATAAGAGTTAAGCAATATAGTAGAATTAAGAATTAATTAATTTGTGCAAATTTGAGTCTAATAAAATAAACACAAATTTAATTTTATAATAAAATGAAATTAAATGTAATTGATGAAACTTTTATTCATGCATGCATGTATTTTTCATCTTAACTTTAGTTTTTATCAAAATTTCAGACAAAACTTTACAATAAAGTCGTGACCAACCTCACAAATGTAATATTTTTTAAATTTTTGAATTAGTAATGCTAATGCAATATAAGTCAAAACAAAAATAAGTCATAATTTTCCATTTCCTCCAATAATCAATTCATTTTATGAATTAAACTAAACTAAAATGGTATCCCACTCTGCCTAATCACTAAACAGTAAACTACACTGACTAATCATAATTAATTCAAACAGAAAAAAAACAACCTATCACAATTCTTTCCAGAATCAAATCCTTCTGCTCAACATTGAATGGCTCCCCTACCACGACCAACAAACTGCTTTTTAATTGAACGTCTGCACTCCCTAAAATCTGATTATGAACACCGTCACCATTTTGTTGCTTCGTTTCTGTTTCGTTGTTACTGAGTTGTTCGGCCATTTTTATCACCTTTTTTAAGATTAAAAGGATGACAAGACAGCAAGCGGGATGGATTTTGTGCGCAAGTGCAATGAACTTTCGGTCACGTGCGAGACGTAGAAGTGGATCTAAGTAATTAAACCTATGAATGTGCCAATTATCATTCAGTGTATTTGTATCTTGTTGAATCAATCAATCAATCAATCAATTAGCTTATAAAGCGCTATTTCCGCGATGTTCAACAGCGCCCCTCAATGAATTTTGAAAACAGATGGGTCTTGAGATCCGCTCTGAACTTCGCAAGTGATGGAGAAATAGTTAGAGAAGTAGGTAGAGAGTTCCAGAGAAAAGGACCAGAAAAAGCAAAAGCAGATTTGGCAAAAGAGTGTTTAACACGAGTTAAGAAAAAGCGAGAAGAAGAAGACGATCGTAAACCGGGGCGTTTAGGTTCAATTAATATATCTGATAAGTACTTAGGAAATAATTTAGATTGAGACTTATACATGAACGTGCAAATTTTAAAAATTATTCTATATTTTATAGGTAGCCAGTGCAAGAGAACAAGATATGGAGATATATGAGAAAAGAAAGGGGCACGAGCAACTAGACGAGCAGCAGAGTTAAAAGCTTTACTTAAAGGATAGAGTATAGAGTCAGGAAGACCATAGTAAAGCGAGTTACAATAATCAATCCTAGATAAGACTAACGAAGTAACAAGAAGGAGAAGAGTAGGATCATCAAGAAAAGGCAAAAGTTTTTTTATTCTATGTAGATGAAAGTAAGAGCTTCTAGCAACACTATTAATCTGAGAAGAGAGAGACATAGTAGAATCAAAGATAAAACCTAGACTACGAAACTTATGAGAGACATCAAGAGTTTTAGAATCAGGTAAGATAATAGGAGGAATAGTAATTGAGTGTTTAGATTTATTAAAACAAATTAATTCAAACTTAGAAGGATTAAGTTTAAGACAAATAGAATCAGACCAAGCGATAATCGAA